TTTTCCCTTTGAAACTCATATATATTAATATACTGTTGGGACAAGAATATTGATTATTATGTTTCATGTTTCATCTCTTCTTAGCACAACCCTTAACCCTCCCCCCCCCCCGACCATCTTTCTATTTTCATTTTCTTTCACTCATCTTGTGTTACTACGTTTTTTGTAATTGCATTTCTCTTCGAAAAATTTTGTATTTATTTATCTCTTTGATTTTATTTTTTTCTTTCAAAGAAATCTTATTTTAATTAAGTTTTAATATTACATTTTTAATTTTTGTTCATTATATTATTATTATTATTATTTTGTTTTGTTTTATTTAAACAACACGAGTGTGTGTAATTTATACAAAGAAAGAAAGAATTAAATTAATTAAAATAATTTTGACTTTGATGGTATATCGTCGATAAGATAAATTGGCCTTGAATAATTAACAAAATGAATCGACCAATTTCAGTATTTATTTATTCGTTACAGATCGCCAAATTGTTCTCGTATACATGGACAATGGGTATTTTCCTATGCAAATCTGTGCATTACATGCAAAGCGTTTCTGCTATCTGTTCCGTTGTCACTCTCACTGCAATGTCCATTGAAAGGTAAGTTATTTCAAATGAATTTTTCTAATCCCGATATATATTTCATTAATAACAATAATTATTATTATATATAAGCTTTTATTATATATATTTTAAAATATATTTAACGTAAAAAAAAAAAACAAAACATTGATTCGTAATTTCGATTTGTTTTATCGTAATCAATGGGGTGGGGGTAGGAGGTGTCCCCTTGTAAATGAAATAAAAAGAAAATATAAGCTTTCATTATATATTTTGAAATAAATATTTAAAAACATTGATTCGCGTAATTTCGATTTGTTTTATCGTAATCTCAATGGAGGATCCCTTGTAAATGAAAGAAAAAGAATATGTTACAAAAATATTCGAATATTTTTGAATTGTATTTTTACAAGTTAGAAAAAAATTTTTTCTTATAATAATATATATTTTTATAATAAAAGAATCTTTTTGTTTTTCCATTTAATTATGGGTAAAATGATTCTCGCCTTGTTCTTGGAAAATTTAATCGAAGAAGAGTATTATCTCTCTTTGCTTCGTGTTATTTTGATTTTTTTCTTTTCTTTTGTTCTTTTTATTTTTTCCTTTGTATACTTTCTCTATCGCTCTGGTATTTTACTTTGAAATAAAATGTCTTTGATTTACTACCGGACGTTTATGTTGTTCTCAAACATTCTTTCATATAACTCCTTTCAAGAAAAACTATTTTCCATTTCTTCGTAACGTCGTTTTATTCAAAGAAAACGAGTATGTATTTCTTGTCAAGAGCTTTTCATACATTCTCTTTCCATCGTCTTAATGCAAGCTCGAATAAATAGTACCGAATACGCCATTTTTTTTTTTTCTTTTTTTTTTCTTAAAGCTAACTCTTTTCACTTGACTCCCTATAACTTTGAATAGGAAAAAAAAAAATCATTTTGCAATCTAACGAATATGATGATTACTATCATACTTTTTTCTTTCATTACTAATCGCGATATTTCTTTATCAACTTTTCTTTCTATTTTTTATTCTAAATTCGATTAAAATGACGAAAAAAAAAGAGATTTCGTTCGAATCAAATTTTAATTATCGTTTCGTCATAAAAATTGTTTTCGACAATCAATTAACGAATATACTTACTCGTTGGCAAATCTTTTTTCCCTTTTTTCATCCTAACAACCGTAACGCAATTTTTTAAATAAAAATACAAATATTCACGGTGCACATATATATATATATATATATATATATATATATTTTTTTTTTGTAATAAATCATTTCAAAATAATACGAATCAATGAATTTCACTTTAGATTCAATCGTAACAGTAATACAATTATAAATAAAAATATAATCAAAAACACGATATATATATACGCTCATCACCTACGCGAAAACAATTTCACATATTTTCTCGAAAAATCCAATTACTATTACAATTAACAATATTAATTAAACACGTGTCATTAAACTTCCAACATATAATATAATATAATAAAATATAATATAATATAATAAAATATAATATAATATAATATAATAAATTT